GCCCAGGCTGGCCTCGAACTCACAGAGATCCGCCTGGCTCTGCCTCCCGAGTGCTGGGATTAAAGGCGTGCGCCACCAACGCCCGGCTTGTTTTCTTCTTTTTATTTCAGAAACCCAGCTTGAAATGGTGCTGCTCACGTTTAGATAGGCTTGTTCCACCTCAATCACTCAGTATAGAAACTTCCTAACAGACATGCCCAGAGCCTGGCCTCCTGGGTATTTCAGAGTCTGTCAAGTTGACAATATTAAACATCACAGAATTGTATTAAAATTCCAGATTATGGAGAATAAATACCATGTAAATTCATTTTATTTTTGCAGTACTGATGATCAAACCCAGAGCCTTGCATGTGCTGGCCCAATGAAAAAAAGAAAAAGGAAGGACATGACTGCTCCTAGGTATGTGGAGGAGAAAGTTTATTGTAGATGAAAGGGAGAGCATGATGAGAGACAGAGACATCGGGAGAGTCCAGAGTGGACCCGACCCTGAGCCATGTTAGGAGAGAGGAGGGTTAAGGAGAGGGAGAGAGGGGAACCGGGTGTAGCAGACAAGAGGGAAAAGGTAAGAAGGGGGCAGGTAACCAAAATGGCTGGATTATATAGGGAAGGGCAGCCCAACCCCTGGGCTGGAGAATTCACGGGCAGAGGGCAGGGTGTGCCAGCCATACCCCATAGCAGATAGGGACTGAAGGATGCTGGGAGAAAGAACCTGGGAGCTAGCTAGGTCCATTTTGATGTTAGATAGGCACTTCAGCCATTTGTTCCAGGGTTGAGACTTAACCTGTAGCATACAGGTGGGACACAGAAATCTTTGAGGGAGCTGTACAAACTTCCCCGTGTCTCCAAATAGACAGTCTTTCAACTTAAGCCCACCTGAATGCCCTCTGGTTTAAAACCAAATGTGCTGTTTGGTTTTACAAGTTCTCCAGTAGCAGTTTCTTCACATGCAGCCAATACATTTCTTAGTCAATTCACTCAGAAATGTTTTGGGTTTTTCCTCTTTACAGCCATAGCCCCCCTTACATCTTCATCTGGAAAAATTTTCTTTCATGAGTGAGGCAGCCAGACGTCAGTGGCTTGTAAATGTGACATCAGTTCCTGAAACGCATTCCAGAACAATGTTTCCCATTCGATCTTTCTGTTCTCTGACTTAGTTCTGGTGATGATTCATGTGAGGATGACAGTGACTCATCTGATTTCAGTGAGCCACAGGGTCCCAGAGAAGTATAGCATGTCCTATAACCTGATTTAAAAAGAAAGTCTCACATAGGAGTAAGAGCACTTAGATTCCAATACATCAAACAGAGCCAAGCATGGTGATTCATGCCTGTAACCCCAGCACCCGGATGGAGAGGCAGGAGGGTTGAGAGTTCAAGGCCAGCCTGAACTACAAAGAGAGGCTCTGTCTCAAAAACAGCAAGCAAATAGGCAACCAAAAACCTAACAGCAGAATGAAGAAAGCCACTTCCAAGAGGACTGCTCCACGGTTGAGAGATGACAGACAGGAGCACAGACACTGATGTCTGGACTAGAATAGACATCAAGTAGAAGGGGAATTGATAGTTCCTTCTTACTGTGAGCACATGAGTCTTCCCAAATCCCGTCTTATCAAATGCATTTAAGAGCACTGTTGCTGGAGGCTTAGACATCGTACAATGCTTACACACTCCAGCATCTCAGTGGAGATGGCCATCGTGTTCCATAAAATAGTAATGTCAAGCAGAGATTAGTGTAAACCCAAATTTGAGTCAGTAAGAACTATAAACAGTCACACTCCTGTTTGGGGCAGATTTGGCTGCCAAGTGAGATTGTCAGGAACTTATGAAAATTTTTAGGTTTTTAGAGGTGGGGAGCTTTTCAGAATTTGGGTAATGACTGGTGGACCTAATCGAGCAGTGTATTTAAGTTTCAGCAGGCACTCGGTTTGCCTGGCCAGCTCTGGAGTCAGCTAAGAGTGTCTTTGAAGTCCTGCTTGTGTAGATAGGCTGTGGTTTGGACTGTTTAGTCTGAAGGCAAAGAGCACATTTACAGAAGAAGAAAATATAGACTGTGAGGTAATTATCAAAAGTAACGGGTGAAGTTTCTTACCGGTTTGCACCTCTGACCTTTGGGGGCCGTCATTATTTCGCATTTTGATTTAAAGGAGTTGTGATTTTAAACAATAAAACTTCCCAGTGTGTCTTTAAATGTTTTTGCTCTATGATTTCTTTTAAACAGTTTGGAATTGTGTGTGCCTGTGTGAGTTTATGTGCACTACACCAGTGCAGGTTCCTGTGGAGCCCAGAGAGAGTTACGTGCTCTTGTGAGCTGCCTGATGGGGCACCGGAAACCGAACCTGGGTCCGCTGCAGGAGTAATGTGCACCATCTCTCCTGCTCTAATACATTTGCTTTTAGACCTGTCAATGAAGAAATCCTTCTCCGTGTTTCTCTCATTTATCTCTATGTAGAAGTATTTCCTTATGCTCAGCCCATGACTGCGTGTACTTATGCTATTTCACCGAATCTTTAAAAGTGTGAGGAGGAGTCATACACTTATTCAGTAAGGTGGACTGAGGGCGTTTGTTGGACGCTATACTCCATGGTGGATGAGGAACGCGTCTTACGAAGACCGTGACAGCAGGGAGATGGCTCAGACGGTAAAGACGCTGCCCCAGCCTGGTGAGCTGAAGGCCGTGCCCCAGCCTGGTGAGCCGAAGGCAATGCCCCAGCCCACCAGAGCTCAGAGACAGCTGGCTCCACAGAGCTGTCCTCTGACGTCTGCCTGCACACAGGGCCGCAGAGCACTGTCTCTTGCACACACTATCTCCCTTCCTCCCTCCTTCCCCTTCCTCCCCCTCTCTAATAATCAAAAGAATAATAATAATCATCACAGTACCTTGTTATAGGTGATGTGAGCGCTGTGTGCCATGAAACACCATGCTCTGGGATGAGAAGGGGATTGAAAGTTAAATACTCTAAGATGGTGTCTTAGTCAGCATTTTGTTGCTGTGAAGAGACACCATGACCATGGCAACTCTTTTAAGGAAAACATTTAACTGGGGCTGGCTTACAGTTCAGAGGTTCAGCCCATTGTCATCATGGTGGGAAGCATGGTGGCATGCAGGCAGACATGGTGAGGGAGAAGTAGCTGAGAGTCCTACATCTGCATCTGCACTCAGCAGGAAAAGACACTGGGCTAGGGTTGGACTTTTGAAACCTCAAAGCCCACCCCCAGTGACACACTTCCAACAAGGTCACACCTACTCCAACAAGGTCACACCTCCTAATCCTTCTCAAGTTGTGCCTTTCCCTGATGACTAAGCATTCAAATCTAGAGCCTGTGGGGGCCATTCCTCTTCAAACCACCACAGATAGAGATACAGACCCCTAGACCTACTAAACAAAAACCCAGTGGAGCTCAGCCGCCTCTTCTAATAAGCGGAACCAAGAGAGTATGATGCCTGCTGAGGTTGAAGACTTCTTCAGAAGCAAGTGTGGGAGAAATAGACAATCTTCTCTTTGTTTGTTTGAGTTAGGGTCTCACTCTGTATCCCAGCTAGACTGGAACTCACTGTGTAGTCCAGGTTGGCCTCAAATACACTGTGATCCTCCTGCATCAGCTGCCAGAGTAGGCAATTTTGCCATATTTGGCAAGATGGTTATTCTGAATGACAGAGTACAGGAACAGAGTAGGGTAAAGGGTCGTGAACATGAGAGATGAGATTGGAGAGGTGAGCATGCTCATGTATAGTCTTACAGGTCATATTCAAGACTCTAAGCTGTAGTAGGCAGAGGGGTCCACGTCTCAGCTCTTGGGAGGTAGAGGCAAGTTGATCTCGAGTTCAAGGCCAACCTGTCCTGCATAGTGAGTTCCAGATCAGCTAGGGCTACATAGTAAGATCCCTGATTCAAACAAAAAACACTGACAACAAAAAAACCTCATTGTACCTTGACTTATAGGTATAATGAATAAAACAGAATCCTTACCCACTGGGAGCATAGCCCTAGACAAATGAATATATTATGTCTGGTGGCAGGAAATGATGTGATGCAATTACTTGGATGACAACAGATGGAATTACACCCAGTCAGAAGTGGGGAGTTCATAGGTCGGAGGGTGAACCTGCTACTGTTGCTTTGCTAGATGGACAAGGTGTCAGTCAGCTTTCTAAGTACTTAGGTTTGTACTCATTCATAAGTGCTGCTCTTAGCCTTGGGCAGAGACACTTCATTTTACAGTGGCTGGTAGCTAATACAGAGATTCGTTATTGGCCAAAGGGTGGAGAAAAGTGACCATGGAGTGCTCAGCATGAAGTGGAACATTTCCGTTGCTTCCTCCAAAACTCAAAGCATGGTGAGCAGGAGGAGAGGATTAAGAGCTGGAGGGTGGGAAGGCGTTCTGTGAAACACTGCTGCACCCAGAAGTCCTTGGCATCAGAGGTTACCTCACCTGAAGCCTAGGCCATCAACATTCCACTGTTGGTGATGGAGGCCTTCCTGAGGTCCTACCTCCCCAAAGGG